AATGTGCAAATATCAAGGTATTCTCTCATTCCAAGTTAGACAGTGATGCTAGGAACACAGGCTTGAAGGATTTCTGACTTCAAGCACAGCCTCTTTTTGTATTAGATTTGAAGCTTGGTTTGCCTCTCTTCCCACTTGTCACAGAAGGCTGTTGGGTTGCAATGAGCCTCTTTCAGTTGCTGCTGGACTTCCACTTCTGTGGGTTGCTAAGGGTGTGGAACTGCAGTCTCAGCCAATGTTGCCAATATTGTTGTTCTGCCAGCCACTTTGGGAATATTTCCATCTCTTACTTTGCACTGTTAATTTCTTATAACACACACGAGGCAGAACTCTTATACAATATGCTTTACCTAAGAAAATTAAATAAGTGCAGTTGTTTTTTGTATATTATATATATATAAACATATATATATATATATACATATGTGTATATACATATATATTTATATATACACATATATTTACATATATTATATATATATATATAATATATATACATAAAAGAGAAATATGTTATCTTTTTATTTGCTGGAGCTTCCTTGTATCACAGTTACAATTGGCAGTTAACAGCAGAAAAATTAAGTCAGCTATAGATTTTTGGTTCTCTTTCAAATCCAAAGCATAAAAAATTTATGATGCTGTTCTGGAATCAGTCCTAAACATACATTCTTGGACTTGTTTTAAAAGAATTCTTTATTCCAAAAATAACTCCATATTCCAAAAATTTGGACTCAATATATACTGCCCATATTAAAAGCTTACACAGCTTTTAAAAGCTTAAGTTATGCATATTTCCTTTGTTTCAGAAAGATATCATACAGTTTTCATTGTCCCTGTAACAAATAGGTTGATTAAAACAAAACTTGTCAAGGCAAAATTGTAAAATGTGATTCATGGCATAACGACTTTAAAATCAAATTCAGAACCCATGTAAGTAGATGCACCACCACATTTTTCATAGCAATGACTCATTCCAGATCTGGATTTGGCTCTCTGTTAGAAACTGAAATCTTGATACCTCCATTACTGCAACATCAGCCAATTTTGTTTCCTCTGTAAATTTTAGTGGATTCTGTGTTTTAGAGCTGTCTTTAATTCACAACAATAGAAAGGTGCACAAATTCTTAAGGCACAAAATCTGGACAAAGAGCATCTGGCACAGATTTCCTATGAGATCTTTGTCTCTGGAAGTATTTCTGTTTGAAGACCTAAAAATTCAAACAATAGGTCTCTCTATTTTTACTGCCTCTGACTCTGGGGTACAATCCAGACCTCTAATTTGAATTTTTCTAGTTTGGTGTCTAGGCTTGTGTAAAGGTGTTTGAGGAGAGTTACATAGTTCAAAACATATGCTTTCACAGTACCTGTCTGAACAGTGATCCAACTTAAATATCTGTATCAGGAAGCTGGCTTCACTATGTATTCAACAGAGACAGATATTTCTTCTTCCTTTCATTGATTTCAGTTAAATAGTTGAAGTGAGTTACAACAATATGTCCTCAGAAGCAGCAATCCAAAAGCCTTTCTCCACCTGCAGAAAAGCCACACAGGGCTTAGACCACAAGTTGCAGTGATGGAACTTCTCTGGACACTTTTTCCTTGGTTTCATTTGGGCTCCAGAGTCTAGAATTCCTTCCTTTCCCCAAACCTGTGTTATGTACCTAAAGACATCCTTTCCAAGAGCTTTACATTTGCCAGCTGCTGCTGGCTTTTAAACACAGCTGGCAGAGGAAGGTGTGTGGCAGGCCCTGCTCTCCATCAAGTTCCTGAGTGACTGACAGTCTCAGCCTCCACATGTACAAACGACCTTTTTGTCAAAGGAATCGCCTCTGATTTCTGTAAAGGCACATGTGATTTGTGCTGAGAAAGAGGGAGCCTGACTCTGCAACCTACTGCACAGGGCCTGTATCTACGAGGGAGGAGTTTTTGTCTCTACCGCCGAGTTTTACCTATTTCAATACAAAGTGAGGAAGAAGGACTCCACTTTCTGTAAGGTGCATGCCTCAGTCAGCAGGTGACAGAACCAGTGGTCCCCTCACATCTGGTCTGGCCCTAAGAATGTTCTGTTTTCTGGTGCTTACAGAAACACAGGCATCATCTGCTTAAACACTTTAAGTTAGGCAACCTTTCTGAAACAAGCCTTAAATAAGCAATTTTCAGGATGACAGTTGTTTCTCAACAGCTAAAGCTTTCTATTCAGTCCGAAGGCAGTAGCATTCAGATTCTGATCTGGATGATCAGCTAACATGAACCACCAAATATGTTTGTGTATATTCTCAAGTCCCTACAGTCATGATGTAACCAATGTTTTCAAATACCCTTATAATGCTATCAGAGTAAATAAGGAAAAGGGAACACATCTCCTCATGGCAGGGGAGTTGGAACTAGCTGCTCTTCAAAGTTCCTTCCAACCCAAAATTTTGTATGATTCTACAATTACATTATATTTTCATAATTTTACCTTTATAAATGCAAATGTATTTCATAAAGGCAAGTAATACAGTAAAATACATAACTGTCAATTATCCATTTTTAGCAAATGAAATATGAAAGGGACAAACAGGATACTATAGTGTATCTGTATATAGAATATCAATATGCATTAGTATATATCAAGTGGATTCATACTGATTTATGTTATGTGTTAGTTGACACAATACACTTTTATATAATTATTTGTGAGTGTTTAAAACTGTAGTAAATACTAATGCTGATGTAAAGCAAAGAAAGAGTTAGACCTTCAGCTCTGCAAATTCCAACAGATTCTTCCCACAACACTAAGCTTATCCACAGCCTAACTATTTATGGTGCAACATTTTTGACTTCACATTAAATTAAGCACCATGATTGTAACTTAGAAAGGAAAACAGAAATAAAAAGGCTATTGAAGTATTGTATGAGTGAGTTAACAGTATTGTAAGAACTGTGGCTTCTGGAATTTCCTGAGTTTTGAGTGCCTGACTTTATGACTTGGTACTGCACCAAAACTAAAACCTTCTTTATAAAGAAAAGAGGCAACAAAACCCAGCATATTTTCTTTGGGATTTTTCTACATGCTTTTGACTTCCTCAGTACATCTTATAAATTGCCTAAGCACAACCTTACACCTCTAACATTGGCTAAACAGAGAGATAATAAGGAGGCCTCAGCAAACAATCTGTCATACACCATATTGCAGAGCACAGTGTTCTCCAGCTAGCTAGACCCACTACTTTTCACCTACTTTCCATCTGCTGCTCTCTCTAAGCCTCATGCATTAGGGCATGCCAGTCTGCTCTCTAAATCTTAGTAGCTCTTTGCTCCTATAAAATTCAGACTTAAAATGCCTTAAAAAATGTGACATGCAAAAGTAGATGTATGGCTTTGTGAATCTGGACAAGGAATTTATACTTACTGTTCTTACCTTTGTATTCACTATTGCCTCTTATCTGTTTAGACATAAGCTTTCCACTGCAAGAGCTCTGTGCACACTTCTGATTAATGCTAAAGCATAAGGCTACTTCAGAGTTGGTGCACAGACTATAGGTGTCATAATCTCCTGAAACGCAAACCCCACCAGCTGTCTACCTTATCCTAAGAGCTTCCTTGGCTTTCAAGATACTGAGAGGCAATGCATGCAAGCCTCACATATTGTTATTTATTTCTCTGCTTAACAAGGAAGGAGGCCCAATACAGACTCCTACAGTGCAAGAAAAAAAAGGGGGTTTAGTTTATGGACAGACTAACACACATTTAGTCTTGCCAAGGACAATGTCTGTGTGAACACAGCTTATATGCTTGCCATGCACCTTACAGAAAGGAGCCCCAGCTGCTGTAGCTCAACAATGAATCATGAACTCAGTAAGAAGCGAGGTGGGATTGGAATTTTTTTTATGGATTAATAGACAGCAAAAAATCTGCTTGCCCTTCTTATTTTTTAACTTTTGGGTTTTTTTTTTTACTTTATCAAATAGTTTCTGTTGGACCTCATACATATACAGCTCAGACAGACAACCAAAGAAAACATTGTTACTGCTGTTTCAATATATATTGAAGTCAATCTGTAAACTGGTTTAAAAAGGGTTCAAGAGATTCTCTCCTTCAATAGCATCAGTCCTTACAGCAATACTACGTAATTCTCAAATGTGCTTTGTTTCACTGACACAGAAGATATAAACCAGACTAGAATGTGGACTTAGAATTGATGTTTATTGCAGGAGTCCCACCTAAAGATATGAAATATATCTGACGCATGACATGAGAGCAAATAGTAAATGAAAACTAGAAGGTTGCTTCAGTACCCAATCAAAATAGTATACAGAGCTACCAGAAAGAAAATAACCCAGGCTGAAAAGAAACTTTGCAAGCACAAAAGCTATTCTGCACAAAGAGCCAAATGCAGCATGTGTGTTTCTAAATCTCATCCTATTTTGAGGAATTTAATCATGGATAAGCCTTTTGCTGCCACCTGTACAGAAATCAACGCACAGAGTACTTCAGGGCAGTGAAAATAAGTAGGATACCAAACAGTTGAACTAACAGATATGAATCAAACCAGGGATCCAACCTTTTCCACAGTAAAAGTTTTATCCAAGGTCATTCTTGCAGATGACAAGTTTAATCACTGTTCAGTAACATTCAGTTTCATGTGAAGTATTATTTCAACTTTGGCTTCTCATTTACCCAGTATAGAAACTACACAAGCCTAAGTGGCAGGTGTCGGAGAACAAACCTGTGGTAGAACCATGCAGTTGTTTCCAGAGCTCTGGAGAGACTGCTAATGCAGTGAGGGTGCTCACAACCCTCGTATGCTGAGATCACAAACTTTTGCTCTGTGAAAAGTAGTTTTCCTGCCTCAGAGGCATGCCAGAGCAGAGTCCTGGAGGACCACTGACATCTGGTGGTCACTTCACTATAACGAAGACCAAGTCATATATATTTAATTTTACTGTGACTTGATCAAATTACATTTTACAGGTGGTCTGACAGAAATATATGCCAGGGAAGAATTAAGTTACAGGTCTTTCTCTGTGTTTATTAACTTAGTGAAATCTGATAGCTGCAAGTAAATGCAGATGAACTGTAACACACAAACAACAAACTCAGTTAAAGCTGCCAGTACATTAATAGTATTGTTGGATTAAACCCACTCTAGAGATAATAAAGCTTTTCCAAATACAGCACATTTAATTCAACAAGTTCTTGAGAACCACTGGATCATGAAATAGAATTATATAAAAATGTCTTTTTTACAAATAAAAAAACGCATTGTTTCCTAGGTAAGATGTTTCTTATTACTGAAAAGGAGTAATGAGATTTAGGTCTACTTTTGCTAGACAACTAGCACAACATTAAATAATAAGCAGGAGTATCCAATAATTTTATTCATATTGATATGTGTTACATGGTGAGACTGCCCAGACAGAAACTGCCTCAGTTCTCTCCAGCAAACTTGAGATGATCTTCTTGACACCTAAATGCAATTGTGCAGAGAGACCACAGCCACCAGCACTGGACCTAAAATGTACTTAGGCCTGTTAGCACTGATTGTTGACCGGCAAACACTTAAAGCTATGTTTTGTTTGTTGCATCTATGTACAACTTGTAAACAAAACTCTGAGGCTTTCAAACATTCATCAAGCATACAAAAATCTTATTAAACTGTCATGAGAATTTTCAGCCCTTCCCATATGCTTTTTTTGATGCAAAATGATTCAAAGTCTACCTTCAGGTAAATATACATTTCTTGTTGAAATGGGAGCTCAGTTCAAAACTAATAAAACTCACAGCATCTGCTGAGTAGTAGTAAGTAATCAAATTGTTTTACTGCACCTTTCCTCCATGCTACAAGTTGGCAGTTTTGCAAAAAATCAGCAGTATAAATCACGTCCAAACCATCTGTATTTTTCACTTACCATCAACACAACCCCTATCCATAAGTAAACAGACTGCTAAATTACAGCTTTACCTTCAATCTAGGCTACCTAACCAGAATGATAGAGTGAACTATTTTTAATTACTTATACAAAAAGGCATTGCTCTGCATATGTTTTCTAGTTGGCTGTGGCATGTTGTGGCCAAGCATTTTATAGAGACATGCAATTGCTAATGTTGCCAAGAAGTGTGCAAAAATAGCCAGTGCTCAGAGTGAAACACAAAAGGGTACATGGGACACTCACACAGAGGCAACTGTACCAAGCCACCCCAAAGAAAGCAGCAAATATGCACCAAGATAGTTGGATTTGATTCTGCCAGAGTTTGAGGCTGAGCCAGAAAGGCTTTCAAAAGACAAGTGTCAGGTGTTTTGCTTCCATTTGTATTTCAGCAAAATTGTAGTATCTGTTGTCCAGTGATGCCTCTGGAGAATTTCACTTGTGTGGTACACAAATCACTGATGTTCTTACCTGTTTCAGGTCTTTTCCTGTACTGCTGCATGAACATACACTGACAAAAGTGGCTTTATAAGATTATTTTTTAACACATTCCTAAAGGTCCAACTGCAAATCAACAGACAATAATCAGTACAGAGAAACTTGCTCCTGTGCACAACAGGCACAATGTTCTAATTAATCTTACTCTGAGCATTTAAAGTAAGAGCTATTTTCAGTATTAACAATGCTGGTTTCTGCACAATAATGCATTTCATCTACAGTGAAAAGCTGTCACATTGCTGCATATCTATTAAATTAAAGCATTTTAATTAGGTCAGCTACTGGGTAAAGGAGACAATAACCACTTTAAAGAAGCACTGTCACAGTTATAGGCCCTTGGCTGAAAAGTACGTCTCTTCTTTCCTTTGTCATCCCCAAAACACATATTTTTGAAAAAAATCTCAGCATTGCCAACCCAATTAAACAGCAGCAGGAGATGATTACTCTGTAGCAATGTTCTAATTCACAGACATAATCATTCTTCTATGTTTATATTTTATTGAAGATATTTTCCTGGGGGGCAGAGATGCCCTCCACTCACCACCAGGGACAGACAAGGTCTAAAAATAATTTTGCCTGGTTCTAATCGATAGCACCATGTTGGCAAATCTCTTCCGAAGACACAGGAAAGCAAGATAACCCACCCCTGCCAGCATGCTGACCAGCAGGGTGGTGCCAAGAACCCTGGGAGCCCTTTTCTTGGCCACACGGAATGCTGTTGGCAGGACAGCCGAGATTAATATATTGTTGACGTGTCCTAAAACTTTGTAAAATGCTTTTCTCTTCACGACACGCTCATAATAAGCTTCCAAGTTGGGCCGCTTTCCATTTCCCCAGTTTCTTCTTGCTAATCCCAGAAACTTCAGGCGATGTAATGTGACAGCAAGTGACACATCTGCCAGACTGAAGAAATCACCACAGAGCCAAGGCTGATTTCCATCTTCTAAGCAGAGATAAAACATAAAACATTAGGAACTAATGGAATATAAGCACATTCAGCTTAGTGCTACTTCAAAGTACCATCTAATAAAGAGCAACAACTCTTCAGCTAAAATATGACTTTAATCAATAAACATTTTCCTAATCCCTGTCCACTCTTTGCACAATCTTGTAAAGTCTTAGGCTCAGCAGACTGGCCTACATTTGTTAAGGGAAAAAAAAAATCCACATTCCAGGTTCATAAATTAAAACCCACAGTAAACACTTATTTTCCTCAACTAGATTTCTCAAATCTGGAATAAATTAAACAGGATTGGGAAGGAGGAAGACAGTTTAGCTTTTACTGAACAAGCTGCCACTTGTCTGAAGAATTTATCATCTTGCCTGTGTCACTCAGCTCTGCGGCATTCACTCAAGAACTAACTCCAGCTAACTTGTTGGAGGCTTTCAAGCCAAAAAGAAATGGATCAGATGACTGACTTGCACCAAACATATCAGCCCATTGAGATTACAGAATTTGACTACCTGTGTCTGTTTTGTGTCTCTTAGACCCCAAATTATGGGGATTTTACACTGAGATGTTTGAGAAATATGACAAATATTCACACTGCTCATCACTACTCAGGAGCACAGATGGAGACCCCAGGTACCCTCTCCAGTCAAAGGAAAGAGATGACTCTTTCTGGGATGGCTCAGAGCAGGCACCGCCAGGCAGCATCACACTTTGCTGTCAGTGATCTGAACCACCACCACCTGAAATGGCTGACATGTACTGACTATAACAAGAGCTTTTGAAACCCAGGATATGAAACTTGATAGCCAGCACAGCTATCATAGCTGCCAGCATAAGTACTCCGCTCTAGCCTAGATCTCAAATAGAGAGGACTGTGCTGCTCCCGTCTCATTTGTAACTTTTGCAGTTCGTCCCTCCCTAGAAACAGAGAAATTTTTCAATCTCCTTTCCAACACACTTTCCACCAGAGAAAAGCAACAGCTTGGCACAAAGCTGGTACTAGTCCATTTTGACTGGCTACAGAGGTCTGGAAAAAAGGCCTCTGTAGAAAAGGAGTTGCTGAAAGGATACGTGGGAATTCATCCAGTGCATTAAATAAGATGATGGAAAAGACCAAAGAATCTATCCTGTGTGAAAAAAAGATGCCTGCAGTGGCAGCAGTAGTAGTTGAGGGATTCAAGCAATTGCAAGAGAAGCAGGAGCTCTGAGTTTGGACAGGACCTGGAGAAGTACAGATCACAAACCTCCAAAGTGGGAATACCTCAGACAAAATTCAAGAGACAATAGTTCCATGTTTCACAAAATCCTGCAATCCCAGAAGCTTTCATAAACTCATCAATATTGTATCAGTTCAGTCCTTAGAAAGGCTACTTAGCAGAGAAAGGAAAGGAGTTGCTGGAAATGGTGGCAGACATAATTTGTTGAACAAAATCCTTCCATCCTTTATGAGTTAAAATATTTTCTGCGACTCTTTCACTGTTGAGTCAGTAGAAAATTTAACCTAGATTTTCAACTGCTGGTTCAAACCTACAGTTGTGATAGTAACCAGTAATTATTACAACAGCTATTTATAGAGCTAAATGAAAAAAGTTATTGATTTGAGCAGATGCAGTTGATATTGACTGATGCTTCATGCAGTTTCCAGTGAAATCAGGGGAAGGACTCCTATTAGCACCACTGGGAGTTGAACCACACTGTGAATAAGCAGTAGACTAATCCCATTTAAGCAGAATTTAGGATGCTGATATGGTCAAATGCCTGTGGGTATAGATGAGGGGGAAGGTCAGCATTGCAGATGTCCTTGTAGGAGTGTGTTACAGACCCGCTAGCGACCACAAAGAGGCAGATGACGCACTCTACAGGAGGCTGGCAGAATTTCAGCCCTTGTACTTGTGAGGGACTTCAGCCAGATGCCTGCTGAAAATACAACACAGTGGAGAGGAGCAGGAGATTCCTGGAGTGTGTGGAAGAAAACTTACTCCCAACTGGAGAAGGACTCATGGGTGATATGGTGGTCAGTGGCCATCTTGGGCACAGCAACCACAAAACGATGGAGTTTTCAGTTCTGGGTGAAGTAAGGAGAGGCACTAGCAGAACTGCCACCTTGGACCTCTGCCAGGACTGATTAGGAGACTGATTGACAGAGTCAGTCCTGAAAGGCAAAGTAGTATAGGAAGAATGGGCAAGATTTAAGGAGGAATTCTTAAAGGTACAGCAACAGGTTGTCCCCATATGCTGTCAGGGACAAAGACCAGCCTGGTTAAACAGGGAACTTAGGCTGGAACTCAGGGTAAAAAAGACTGTGTCTCACCTCTGGAAGGAGGTGGGTAACTACAAGGATGTCATGGGGTTATGCAGGAGAAAATTAGAAAGAAAGCCAAACTGGAATTTAATTTGGTCACTGAAGTTCAAGACAACAAAAACAGTTTCAGTAAACACATTGACAGAAAAAGGAGGGCTAAAGAGTCTCAATCCTTTGCTGTATGGAGGGGGAAACATAGTGGGTGATGAGAAAAAGTCTGAAATACTTAATGCCTTCCTTGCTTCAGTCTTTAACACCAAAACCCCTGGTCCTCAGGCTGTCCAGCTCCCAGAGCTGAAAGTTGGTGATGGGCACCTGAGTGAAGACCCTACAACTCAGAAGAAAATGGTTAGTGACCTGTCATGCCAGTTAGACACCCACAACTCTATAGGTCAAGATGGAATGTGCCCAAGAATAAGAGGGGAGCTGCCAAAAATTTGCCAATTATTAAAATTATTTACCAGCAATCTTGATTAACCACAGAAGACTCTATTGCCTGGAAATTAGCAAATATAATACCCATCTACAAGAAGGGTCAGAAGGAGGATCCAGGAAACTACAGACCTGGTCATCCTGACCTTGGTACTGGGAAACATCATGGAGTAGATCGTCCTGAGTGTCACTACATGGCATGTGCAGGAGAATCAGGGGAACAGGCCCAGCCAGCATGAGTTTAAAAAGGCAGGTCTTGTTTGGCCAACCTGACCTCCTTCCATGACCAGTGACACGCTCACTGGATGAGGAAAAGGCTGTGCACATTATCTAAATACCTGTAAAGCTTTTGACCTGTCTCCCAGAGCATTCTCCTGGGCAAACTGGCTTGGGTGAGTATATTCTTCATTGAGTAAAAATCTGGCTGGATGTCCCAGCCCAGGGAGTGGTGGTGAACGGAGTTACATCCAGTTGGTGGCTGGTCACTAGTGCGGTTCCCCAGGGCTCAATATTTGGGTCAGTCCTTTCTAACAGGATGAAATGGCCCTAAGTTGAGCCAGACAAAGTTCAGATTAGATATTAGAAATGTTTTTCACTGAAAGAGTGGTCAGGCATTGGAATATGTTGCCCAGGGCAGCAGACAGCAGGATATGGTTTAGGTGTGGTTTTGATGGTGCTGGGTTGACAGTCAGACTAGATCACCTTGAAAGTCTCTTTCAACATTGATGATTCTGTGGTTCTGTGAAAAATTTGCCTTTTATTTGGGTGGAAGCAGCTAAACAGGATTGCTTTTCAAGAGGGTGAGGGAAGAGGGTTGCCAAATGATTAGAGCAATTATTCAGATTGCTTATTCTACATATACCACAAATATCAGCAGAGTATCTGCACAAGATTATAATAAACCTGTATTAAACATTAAGGTTCTGATCTTAATAATGAACTGAAGCCTACACCTATAACATCAACATTCTGTAGTTAATTTTTTTCCTGATTTTTTGACAAAAATACTAAAAAAATTCTGCAGCTAATTATACTCATTTTGCTGAAAATGCGATCACGCACTCTCATGAGACAGTGAGAAATCATTGACTGGAACAGTAAAGCAAGCCAGTATTTAAAACAATATTGATCCCTTCTGTGATGTATAGATCAATATACACTAAAAGTATCAACTCTGACACATTAAATATTGTTTTATAATGGTGCTGTCAACAAGTTTACTCAGTCTCCTCAAACAGAAATATTAACAGGATTTAGCAAGAAAAATTCCTTACCTGGTGTTTCCTCATTTCGCCGCTGCAATTCAGTCTCCACCTGATCCAAAACTTTTTCCAATTCATCCAGTATTTTCTTTAGGTATTTTATATTATCATGATCCAGTAGTTTAGACTAAATAGACATACAGGTTAGTGTTTTAATCATCATACAGAGTTTATACTTTTATCAGAGAAGCTTATACTTAGGATACTACAGTGTTTATTCATAAAATGTCATTATTTTCTCCACGTAGTCAGATAGATACCACATGGATACTGGTGACAATTCAGAAAACAGAAGAAGACTTTAGAGATGCCAGATATTAAGGTTTGCCTACCCCTGCAGGGTGCTCAACAGCCCAACACTAGCACTGATGTGTACTTACCTCTGAAGTCAGTGGGACCAGTCCAGTACCTTCAGCACACACTTGAAGTGTGTAGCTGATCTGAGAACAGACTGTTTCATGCCTTGAAGGGTTAAACGACTGCATGACATTACTGGTAATGACAAGTGAAACAAATGTTTATATTGTGACCAAAAAATCTAACACTAACAAGCTCATAATAAAGGAGCCCATACAAAGGGGTTTCTTACCTTAAGGCGCTTCTGTTTTGCTATATAGGCATCTTGAAGGTCTGGATTTTCTTCTGCAAGTTTCTTCAATTCTGATTCTGTGTTACTTATTTGGCCTAATTTAAAACAAACAAACAAAAAACCAAAGCCAAAACAACACCGAGGCAGACAAAGAAAGGAATGACAAATATTAGATAGCCAAACATACTCATGATACAATCTCATGATACAAATATCATACCAAGGAAATTGGAAGTGCTGCTTCAATACAGCATCTGCACCAGGTTAGGATTTAAATATATCACGTTTCGGAAAACTTAAATGCTTTTTAAATTGACCCAACCCACCTTCAGCTCATCAGTTTACAATGTGACAGTGCTGGTAGGCCCACACTGAGATTTCTTGTCACTGTAGGCCACAGGCATAATTTCACAGCGAAAGCCTAAATGCCACTGAATATGGAGCCAAGGTGTTTTCATCTACCTAAAATCTGATGCCAGAGTCTGTGATCCTTTTGGAAATGTTCTTTAAGAACTGTATGCACATACTAGAGGAACATTCATTACATGATTTAAAGAAGGAATTATGTGAAAAGCTTAAGTTAACTTTACTGATTTATACTATGCATGCATAGCCTTTTCCTTAAAATGGGGCTTTTCTTGAAAATGCCATACTTATAAACCTAGAATACCAAAAGACATAATACACAACTGGCCCATGCCCTATTATACCTAGCAGTCTGAAAAAAACCCAGGTGTTTCAAGCTGAAAATGAAACCATCTCCAACCAGGAGAAGTTTGAACATGCAAAGGAATTGTTAAGAAACATTCACAGGCTTTTCAAAAAAAATGCTTCAAATCAAAAAATGTAGACTATGCTTTAAGCATGAAAAGATAAGAAAACATCCCAACTTAGATGAGCTATAATGTTAGCTCTGCCAGTATGAACATGTGCAAACTGAGAACAATTTATACCAACTAGAAGCTAGAGCAGAAGAATACATACAGCAAAAAAAGCAGAGGACAATGTTGTAAGGGGAACTGGAATAAAAGCACTGATTATTACTATGTGAAAACAGAAAAACTAGACATAATGCCTATGAGTAAAGCACAATTTTCAGTAAACAGTTAGCATCCACATTTGGAAAAAAAAAAAAACAAACAACCAAATCAAAAGCACCAAACCAGACAATGCAGTGATGTAAGAGAATAATTTGTGTTCTTAGACAAGGGGGAGTGGCTTTAAACTGAAGGAAGTAGATTTAGATTAGATATGGAGAAGAAATTCTTTCCGGTGAGGGTGGTGAGGCCCTGGAACAGATTGCCCAGAAAAGCTGTGGACTCCCTATCCCTAGAAGTGTCCAAGGCCAGGCTGGATGGGGCTTGGAACAGCCTGGTCTAGTGGAAGATGTTGAAACTGATGATCTTTAAGGTCCCTTTTAACCTAGGCCATTCTATGATTCTATGATTTTATGATCCTGTGATTCTATGTTACTTCAGTAACAACAACCATGCAACAATATGGAAAAATTAACTGCCTGCCTTCACTTCTGACAACATAATAGTGTGTTACCAGAAATTTTAAGGAGGGGGATAAGACATTTTGTTGGAAATATGATTTCTCAAGCTAACACAATATCACCATTTATGATATAATGGACTTAGTATAGATGTATTACATTTTAAAGACTCTGCAGTATTTGACTTTGTTCTGCAGAGCATTCTCAAACATCGTACAAAGAAAAAAAAAAAGAATCAACAGTATATAAACCACTGACATTGACACAAAAAAAAAAAAAAATCAGAGATCTCAGAATCTAATAGTAAACAGGGAATCATCATCCAGCCGTGCTGTCAAGAGTTGATACTTGTCCTAGAACTACTCAGTTCTTTTGCAATACATTGAAGGAAACATAAAGACATCAGTTAAAAGGTAGCCATGGTACAAAAAAAATTATCTCCACAGACACCTCAAAAATAACATTTCCTCTTTCCCATTTCCAAATCCCAACTATACACAATCAATAAAAAGTATATGCACAAATCATCAAGGACTGCAACTAAAATTCATAATCTGTGCTCAGTATTGTTTAAGGTGGACTTAAGAAAGAAGATGAATGTAATGCAGCAACCTACTAAGTCAGAGACATTCAGAGCTACACCAGTACATACTACGGATCCTGCTGGTAGCATAGGCTGGAATCATGGAGTCCACGGTTAACTCGGGGTGCAGGATGCAGCCATGTGTGTAGGCATCCATAGGCAAGGAGTCTAAGAGCTCCCTGTAGTGTTGCACCCTTGGATAATACATGCTCCCCTCTTCTGGCATTAATCTTGGTACTTCCTCTGAAAAACAAAGTTAAAAATAAAGTTAAGAAAAGAAGAATCATCTAATTAACCAAAGTTTACTCAGTCATGTCCAGCTGGTAAAGGTGACACAGCCACAGGTAAGAAAGCTTCACTTGTTCCCCACATAACTCAACAGTGTGATTGCAGCTCAGAGAAATGTATATTTGTAGTTCATTTTAAAATGTTTTAGAATTCCAATTCCTATGCAGCAACCCATACAAACACGTATTTAAAAAGCTTTCAAATCAGGAAACCACTCTCAGCTCTGTTACATACATCTAGGAATGGGTGACCATGCCATACAACCCTATAATGCTCTCACAGCAGGGGACAGCTGAGATTCCAGGAAATTGTTATGGCTGAAACATTACTGCTCCTGCAATGGTGTAAAAATTACAGTACAGGAATCCCACACAAAGCATGGCTGGAAGTATTCCTGCACATCAATGAGTTTTACCCTAGCCTTGATCTACCTGGGCCCCAACTCCTTTTTTGACTAAAAGAGAGCACAAATTATGTTCACTCAAAAATGAAGTTTTTTTCATGCCTCAGAAATTGCAGTGCTAAATCCCTGAAATACAAAATGCTGCCATCTTCACCCCTATACAAAATTCAGCTCTGCATTTCCTTCAAAAATTGAGGCAGGCTTTTTGGTTGGTGTTTGGTTTTTTGTTTTCTTTTAACAGTACAGGCACAAAGAACTTCAAAATCCTGCACATGATCACTTCCAAGGCTTCTCTTCCTGCTCTTTTACTTCTTCATTCCATTTTGGCTCCAAAAAATTTTGCTCATTCTACTTCCATTGTTCTACAGAAGATTTTTTCTGAAATTAAGCATGTTTCTTCTTATCTCACAGGGAATCTGGACCTGCTCAACAAAGGCAGTCATGCAGCACTGTTCAGTTTACTTTTCATGGCAGTGTCACACCAGGGTTAGTGCAGCTAACTTTGTGCTGCTGCCATTCCTGGCCTCTCCATCCTTCCTGAAGGGCTAAGGAGGACAGTGGTAGGTTTTAATTATAAAGGTTCACTCATGAAGCTGCTGGAAAGCCTTCAACTAATTTTACAGGAACATGTATTCAACCCAAACTGCTAGCTATTAAGAAGCCTGTTTACTTGTGTGACTATAAACATATTCTGCCCTGAATGAAGTCCTGCAGTGACACAGAGCTGCCCCCAGCATTGCTGCAGTTTACGGGGTGAGGGGAAGAACCACGTATTGAAATGGTTGTGGGATTACCATCTACAAACGTCGCTTCAAGGTAATCAATAATCTGCGTTGCCTCACAAATTATGTTTTCTCCATGGATCAGGACGGGCACTTCTCCAGAGGAGCTCAAGCGCATGAACCACGGCTCGTTGTGCTCGCTCAGCGGCAGGTTCACATCGCGCTCCTCGCACTTCAGCGCCTTCTCGGCTATTGCCAACCGCACCTGGAACGGCACCGCCGGGGTCACCCGGGCAGCATCCTCGACCGGCCGGGCAGTATCCCCGGCCGGCCAGGCAGCATCCCCGGCCGGGCAGCATCCCCGGCCGGCCGTTCTGCCGGTCCCGCCTTGGCGCACCCACGGCCGCTCCCTCCATCCTCCATCCTCCATCCTCCACCCCTTCCGCCCCGAAGCCGCCGCGGGAGCGCAGGGGCTGTGGGCACGGCGGAAGGCGGCGATCCAGGGCCCGCTCCCCCGCCCACCCCTCACCTTCTGCGAGGAAAAGGACTGCGTCCAGTGGTACAGCACCAGCGGCGCCATGCCCGGCTCGGCTCGGCTCGGCTGGGCCCGGCTCGGCCCGCGGCGCTGGGCGGGGCAGGAGGCAGCGCGGGCGCGGAGCGGCGGCCGTGCCCGCCCCGCGCCGATCCGCTCTTGGAAATCACCCGAAGGGAATACCCCGGGGATGCGGGGAACAGCCCTCACTGCTCGGAGGACAGCCCTTCCGAAGGGGAAACCGCCTGCAAAGCCGTCTGCCGCATCCCCTAAGGAAGCGCAGGAAGATGGATGCGCAAGTAGGGAAGGTCACATGGCAGGATTTAACCTTTTATATTTATTTGGTTTTTGGTTTAGTTTTTTGGTGTTTTTTTTGTTTTTTTTTTTTGAACCAGTGTTTCCAGTATGAATTTCAGGGACATCAGCAACACACACTTCGGAAAAAACAAAACAAAATAAAACAACCCAAAAAAAAAAAAAAAAAAACAACCAAAAAAACCAAACCACCCATAAATCATGCTGAATTGGACCCTGCGGGCATAAATCCTCAATTGCAAAATGAGTCATAGCAAGAAGGAACAAAGCTTTCGAATAACTTCTTTTGCCTCTAGATGTGTTCTTTCACTCTCAAGAGAGAAAGTTATTTAATTATTTTTTTTTCTAAACAAAATTAGAAAATCTAACAGTTTTTCAGGGCTTTTTTCATTTTCCCTGTGTGAAGCAAGGTCTTTTTGGAAAAGCATTTGAGAGCGAACAATGGTTTACATCATCAGGAAATGCCTCCTCTGTATCTTACACTGGAGATAGTTTAGAAATGTGATTGGTGATAGTACATTAGACGCTATCAGCAACAGCAGGCAGATTTTAGCAGAGTAAAAAAGCACAATGAGATTACAGAGTGCAGAGTATTGTTATCTTCATTCTGACTGCTCAGTTCCCAGTAAAGGCGACTATTTCAGGTAAACCTGATAACTCAGTCCCATGTGCCATTTCTGGATAACAGATGAACATCATGATCAGTCTCTTAAAGACCTGAACCTAGTATGTTGAGAGCTGTATCCCAATAACAAGAACATTAAGGGAAATTTTTACTAATGTTAAGCAAGGAAATGGATTTAAGTCACTGAGACAAGGTAATGGACAAACTTTATAAATAAAAAGGAAAGAAACAAAAAGCCAGCTTCCAGCCCTGTACTGATCACGGGAGTGGGCACAAGGGCAGGCCCATACCTTCTTCAGAGACCACTCCTTGCTAGAGTCACAAGCCAAAATAATCTCTTCAGAAGGTTATGCCTGGTGAGAGGCTTCTCACAAACCCCAGCTGATGGTAACTGATGGTAAATCCCACACTTGGGGGAATTTAATTTAATTATTATTCTTCAAAAAGTTGGAGAATGTGCTTAGAACTGACCACAAGAATGCAGTTGATGGCCTTATGGCTGGATTTACTTCTCTTTAAGATACATGTCTAAGGTAAGAGTGCTAGAACATCCTCTCATGCACAAAGGCTTTAACCTGTGACTCACCGATACATGGATATTTTCACAGATCCCTGCCTAGGCTGCTGCACAGCTGTTCCTTACAGCTAGATCTTACAGCAACTCAAGGGAAAGAACTGGGAATTGTTTTTTCTTAAATTTACATGAACTAGGCACTCTTTCAGGAGTCTGCTTTGCTTTTTTTTTTTTTTTTTTCCTTCATTTTGCCTATTAATCAAAATGTTGTGTTGTCATTTTGTCAATTACCATATAGACCACTACCCTGCTTCTCTTGGTACAGCGAATTTATTTAATATCACACATGGACTTCTGTGTTTGATTTTGTTACCTGGTTTAGATGTCTAGAAAGGCAAGGAAATATATCTATCTTGTAACACAATAAAGAAAGAAGGACCGAACAGCTGCAATCATATACAGGTGATCCTTCTTCCTAACCTAGTCATTCATATTGCTATGAAATATAGGAAAAATACTGACCAGTTGGAGCGGGTCCAGAGGACCAGACGATTTGGGGGATGGAGCACCTCTCCTATGAGGAAATGCCAGGAGGATTAGGACTGTTCACCCTGGAAAAAAGAAGGCTTACAGGTTGCCAAATTGAGGCCTTCAGTACCTGAAGGGAGTCTACAGGAAAGACTAAGAGGGACTTTCTACAAGAGTGACAGGACAAGGGGGAATGGCTTCAAACTAAAAGAAAGTAGATTAGATATCAGGATGAGATTCTTTACTGTGAGGGTGGTGAGGCACTGGAACAGGTTGCCCAGAGAAGCTGTGGCTCTCCATCCCAAGAAATGGTAAGGCCAGACTGGAAGTGGCTCTGAACAACCTGGCCTAGTGAAGGTGTCCCTGCCCATGGCAGGGGTGTTGGAAGTGGATGATGTGTAAGGTCCCTTCCACCCTAGGCCATTCTATGATAAATAATAACCCTGATACATAATACCCCGATGTCCATGTTTATAGTCCTGGTTCTGCTGAAGGAGCGGGTGCCTGCGGACGGGATCCCTCCAGCCCGACAGGGCCGTTCCCAGGCCTGGCCACACGAGGCCTCCCTTTTCCCAAACACGGTGCATAGAACCTTCCTTCTTCCAGAGATGAAGAAAAAAGGACGAATAATTCCTTTCTCTTCAGAACCAGCACCTATCCATCCACCTATGTTTGCCCTTCTACCTTTCTCATAGCCACAGAAAAGCAAGCAAAAGGGCCAGATTATGAAAAAGCTCATCACAACCTGGAACATCTTGTTTCACAAGCATTTACACAAGGCTTTACACAATCAAAACAAAAGTCTCCTTAGGGCATGTTTAATTTGTGCCATAAATACACAAGCAGCAGAAATGCAAATCTGACTGGCATCTTGGCAGCTTGTGGCTTCAAGCAGACCCCTAGCTCTGTGTGATAAATAATTTTTCCTACGACACTGATGTTCTTGCCCTGTTTCTCTGCATGGCCTCTCTTGGGCCTTTTTTAGCATCCTATATATGTTTACAAAAATATATGCATATATGCATGACCCTCTACAAGTTTTTTTAATGCACATATTTTTACATCATGGAAGGAAAATAACATTTACAGCTAATGCTAAAAATAAAAAAAATCTTGATAAACAGTTATAAACAGTTATATAAAATGGGTGAAAGATCTGGAAATCAGAATTCTGGTAATCAGTTTTCTTCTTTACTTCAACTTTCACTCCATGTTATTAACAAGACACACACAGGTCAGATGTGTCATTAAAGTAATTGATGCAAGTTAAAAAACAACTGTTTTTTTTCTTATCAGATCAATTCATTGTGCCTACTGAAACCTAAATGTACTAGACTACAGGGGGGAATTTTTTATTTTTTTTTCTGTGCAGCCAAGAGCCTTTAAAGCTGAAAATTAGCTGGATTCTGTTTATGAATCATTAACAGATGCATTGGTTCAGTTCCAAGTGCAGAGCCAGCCTAATTGACAGTGTTGCAGGAGTTAATACTCATTGGGAAAGTAAGGCAGGTTCTGTTCTGGACCTTCTGTCGTCAATGGTTATTGATTAAATTCCACTGGCAGATGCTGCTTTACTGATGATATGAGTCAAAAAAACATAGCACTGAACTCAGGTACACAGCTGAGGCTTAATACTGACACAAGAACTTTCTTTAACATGACTGAAAAATTAGATATGCAACTATATAGAAAAAGTGAGAGCAGCATTATGTCTTGATAGTCACAGCTGAAACTATCTGTGCCCTAATTTAACTGCATATAAAACCATGGAGCGATGGCAGTTGTAGATAGCTGATTCATGTTCACAGGAAAAATAATTTGTCAGTTACCATTTTACATCCAACAAAATCAATTTATAATAGAATTTATTTAGTCATTGTCAAAGTTACTTAACACATCATACTAGGGTTTTTTTAGGGATTTCACCACAAAATTCTACCAAATTTTCCCTAAATACTATAGTATTCCTGTTCCATGCAGGAGTTTCATATGTAAATGCTTCAGAAATACAGTTTAATAATTAATTTTTATATAACATTTTTAGAATTTTTATAGTAAGCCTATTTCAAAATCGTTATTAGTAATTTTGATGTAACAAAAATATTAATTGTTCTAATGATATATAAATCTCAACAGTTTTGATTGGAATGAATTTTCCTGAAATATAAGGTTTTTAATGCACACACAGAAAGAGATTTAATGTATTTTCATAAGGTGAAAAAAATGTCGTTTCTTAGCCATAAACCTTAAAATCTAGGTATTAACACTAAAGCTTTATCGAGTCTATCCCTCCTCAAGCTTTTATGTAAACAGCATCTTTAGTATAAAATCTAACATATCAGCAAAATTCAAGCTATTTAAAACTTTTTTTATACTTACCCATATTTGTTGTCTCTGTGCACATGTATAATATGCTGGCTCACAAACCTGGATCATTACCAAGCTTTCAGGAACAATTCTGTGTCATCACTTCACATGTTTCTTCTTCCCTCACACTAACTTAGACAAGTCACCCACAACAGTGAAAACTCTGTACCCCTGTGCATAGCATCCAGGTGTTGATATTGATTCTGGTTTTAATATAACAGTGATGACATTTTGTTTGCACAGCACTGTCTGGCACACTGGCTTTTGGTTGCCCATTAAAATTCACATATTACCACAACACAAACAATGAATGTAAGAAATATTCCAGTTTCTACCTATTATTGCCTGTGGCCAAAACCAGAGTGCTCAGCTTTGACCTTGTAAAATAGATTAGACAGATGCTGAAGCAAAGTCCACTAAAGTTAGAGAGGTGATTTGTACTGGCTTCAGTGGGTCCTGTACCAGCTCTTAAGCCAGTTAAGATTCTATTACCATCACACTGTGAAATATAAATACCCAGTAACTGGATGACACCCAAACACAGAAAGCCTTAAGAAAACCTAAGGAGTTAAATACAATTTTGTAAAATGTCCTCTGAAGTCTCATAGTATTTCCATTTTTGACTGGAAAACAGTTTTTAAAATCTTTCCTGAAAAATTATAGAAATCAGATTCTTTCCATCCCTGAAACAAACCCAAACGTTAATAATTTTCAAAAATTTCTAAAAATCTTGTTACACTTTCTACTGGAAATGTGAACACTTTGATAAATTAATTTGTAAATAAGTTTAAACATTTAATCTTTTCCCAGCAAATTGCTCAGAAAAATAGCTTTAAGCCTCTTTAAAGCATAATCGTGTACTTCCACACCTTGTTATTGACAAGTAAAAAAATAGGTGTCACTAAGGAAGATCCATTTCCTTTGAAGATCTATTTTCAATCACAGTGACAACATAGAAATATAGCTGTTATTTCAAAAAGGAAATTCTTGTTTCTTCAGCCTTAGTTCTTGCTGTTTGCTCATTACTTTTGTGCAAACTGGACTAAAAGAGTTACACGCAAAATATTTCAATTAGACTCCCTGAAATCTCACTCCACGTCAGACATCTGTGTTAGACAGAAATAAAGGAAAAAAATGTTTTGAAAAGCTTAGATCATCATCTGTCCCAGAGCACCCTTCACCAGCACAGCAGCAGGGATGGAGGCTGTTCTGTCCTGGGCCACCGTGGGCTCCACACCACCACAAGAAAATCATGGTTGCTGTCTGGGCAATGCAGCTCACAAGTGCTCATGGCAGGGTGGGAACCGTGAGTGTAGGTAGTGTATTTTCTTTTGCTAAGACTCTTTTCCCCTCAATCTAAATCACACAATTTATGCACTACTATTGCATTGTGTTTTCAAATTATAGTACAGCAGAAACAATGAAATCGTAGTGGCCAGTTATGATCCATCAATTTAGTGTACATTTACTGAATTTTGAAAATTAATTCTTACTGCTTGAAATAAAAGAACAGCAGACTAAAAAACAGCTGATTAAATTCACTATCAAGTAGCATGCAAACATAACATTCACCTAACTCCTTTCAATAAGCAAGACCCTAATTTGTGAAAGTAAAAATAGGACAAGCTACAGTTTTGGGCAGCAATAGATCTGGGCACTGAATCACTGTCTATGTTCTTTTGGCACTGACTGAAACATGCTGGCATGATTTTTTCTCAACTGCATAACGTCACTCACAAATAGAGAACAAATACCAGAGCTACTGCTCTGAAAACACACTTCCCCTATCACATTTAAAGAAATCCCAATTAGATTTTCCTAAGAAAGACAGAGGTAGGATATTAGTGCCAGCTGAAGGCAAGAATACTTGCAATTTAGTATTTATTGAGTTATCTGGAGAGAGAAAAGAAAAAAAAAAAGCACTATACAGAGAGAGGGATGAATTTAAATCCCATGTGTGTAACTGATACAAATGAAAGTATGAAGTTGTCCCTGTGCCCTGTGCGAGCTCAGGGGAGAAGTGAGGGCAGCAGGTGATGGTATGTGTCTGAAATAACAAACCCTCTCCACTAACACCCGAGCTAATGCACTGGTGCGGGGGCAAAGCCAGAGGAGAGAAGCTGCAGAAGCTGAAACAAGCTTTTCAAATTTTACAGAGACGTGCAAACTGGTGGGGGGTGGAGGAAGATGTGGTGCCTTGGCTTAATTCCTGTAGTGTCCTGTCAAGTCCACAGGGCAGAACACAAAGGAAGAAGTTGATCTGTATGTTACAGTCCTACATACAAACATTATAAAAGCACAGCAGTTATATTAACTTGAGTCAATATGAACAGAGCTTTGGGACAAGGCATTAAGAATATTCTTTTGGCCCAGCAGGATAATCTATCTTTTCAAGATGAAGAAACTGACAGGGTTTAATTCTTGGTCTTGAATAATTAAAATTTCGCCTCTAATGTGCTAGATAGGCCACTGCCCTTCAGGGCTATCTAACTTCATTTCAATATATTGCACAAAGTTAGAAATAACTAAAACTGGAAAAAAATTTTAATCTCAGCTTCTCTCTGATTTCATTTTACAATATATTTTAATTCCAGTTTTGACACCATGTGTGACCCAAGATAATTGAACAAAGAGCTATTTTTCTGTTCACCTTTCCCCCTCTACAAAAGCTTCATGCTTTAACAGTTCTACGTCACTGGGAAACAAGCTAACACGCAACGGGAGTTTTAACAAGTACAGGGTTCATATCTTGGAGAAGCATTTTCATACTGTGATTAAATTTGTATTCCCCCTAAACTGCGTTTTGTTTGAACTCCATGCCTTGTGATCCCGTTTCCTCCCGTTTTCTTGATGTCAGCTACTTCAGTGCTGGCAGAAGATCCCTCTGAACTGCAGCTGCATTTGTAAATGTTTCATCAAAGGCCTGAAGGTCTGGTTAGCAGCAGACCCGGTGGGTGCTACGAATGTGATCTGGGTCTATCTCGGGGAGGAACAGCATGACCGTATTTACTGCCGATGCTATTCTGGGGGCTGGATGACGTGCTTCTCCCCTCTGCCTGAGCAACACTTGCCCATTCGTCTTTCAACACTCACTCCCAGCATGACAGGATGAAATAAAACAAAATTTACTGGTAGCAAGCGTACTTGCATATTGAAGACTTCCATTCTAACAGCTTCATGCACACTCACAGTCTTATTTCAATAATCATGTTAATAAGATTTTGTACTCTAGGTGGATACGATTTTAGGTTCCATTTAAAAAAATAAAACCATAAGAAGATAAAGAAAAGTATTACCTCATAAAATAATTCAAATTATTATGGGGACACAAGCTTATTTGTCCCCATAAATGAACTCTTAACTCAGGATGTGGCAACACAGTAGGCTCCAGCTCTGCACAGCACTTCCAAATGTGGACAGCAGCTGTGTCAAAAACTGTCAAAGTAGGGGGGGAAATGGTGTATTTGTTAAAGCAATTGTGCATGTAGCAGTTGTGCAATTGTACAATTGTTAAAGCAAATGTGCACCTCTTCCAAAATCAGGCAAATAGTTTACAAACTGAAACTCACTCAATAGCCAGAAGAATGAGCCAGGCACTTCCAGTCATTGACTAAACCCAACCTATCTGTGCTAGACTTTGTAAGAGAAAGGAGGAAAAATTTTAAAACCCAAACAAGTGAAAAACACAACAAAATTTCTGATTAAAATAACATGCACATTTTTCACACTTAAAGGGTTATAATTTTTCCAATAGTTTTTTTTTTTTAATCTAGAAACATGCCACCAAATGGCACAGAAAATATCACATTTTCTTTCTTTCTTTTTTTTTTTTTTTTTTTGCTTTTGTTTTTGTCTATTAAACCTATACAACTCATTTTCAGCACTAGGACTGGAGAATCACAAAGTTGCATGGTGCCAGATTCATTCCCTTTCTGGTTACTGAAATTTAAGGTAAGAACATCCTGACATCATAAATTTTCAAAATTGGCTGAAATTTTTAAAATATTTCATTTGGCTCAATTTTGCAAATATGCAACCAGCTGGTAAAAATAAAATCTGATTTATAGTTTCGTTAGACAGAAACTGCAGTCTCAAATTTACATAAAACCAAAACTATATCCCTTTACAAGTGAAGACAAAACTGCAACTCTCAGCTTCTAACTTTAGCATGTTGTATTGCAGAAATAGTCCTCCAGCTCTGTTAATTTTTTTTTTTTCAGGGCAGAACTTCTTATAAGCAAAAATAGCAGATAGATAACTGTGGGTGAATTAACATAATTTTTGCTATATTATCACAAGAAATAAGAGAATTTTAAAATCAATTTTACTTCTCAAATCGGCTGAAAAAAAACTTTGTACCTAACATAATGAAATACCATGCAGGTTAATGACAACTTTTTTAATTAACAACCTAAAACAGCAACTAATGTGATCTCCACAATGGTGATTTTAGGCATGCCTACAAGTGAACGATTCAGTGATGAATACATGCCTAACTAAAAAAAAAATTATTATTCTGTAAGTCAATTACATTTATCATGCATTCAGACATAAGAGAACATGATATAATTATTTTTCAAATACACTGTGTTATTAGGAAGACATACATTCCATGATTAGAGCAGACACTGTCAGAGATTTTCTGTCAGATATTCTGACACCGTTAGATATTCTGCAGAAATCTTAGACTAAATTCCACCATTACATACTTAATACAAAGTATAGGTGATTTACAAAAACTCAAATAATGGATAATTTTTCATAAAGGACCTTTTGTACAAGATCATAAACTTCTATGTAAAAATATTTTACTTACTATGACAACTGCAGTCTCTAAAGAATGATATTTTCATAAAAATCAAAGTACATACAAAGACACAAAATCTGGTTTAGACTCCACGTAGAGAAAAAAATGAAGAAAAGATTACCTTTAAACAAAACTTAAGGCTTAAAATTCTCCAAATCGTACAGTTTGTTTTTAGGAAAAGAATACTGCAGACACTAATTTATCCAATGTCTATCTTGTACTTGCCAGAAACACATAACACAGATATCTTATTCACATGTAGAGCTGCAAACACAAACTCATGTGAATTCACCAAGAGCATAAAAACGGTTCTGCACCTGCACAACACAGACATTCAAAATTCTGCATTGTTGTTTGTGTCTTCCAAAGTGCAGATTCTAATCTTTAAGTGAAATTTCAGCGGGCAAATAGAAAACCATTTTGCAGCAATGTGGTATTACAGTAAGTGCACTTGCTAAGAAAGCCAGTTTTCAAGATGCAGAGTGGGCTGATACTGTAATCCACACAGGGAAAGGGTTTCTTCATCATACAAAAACATCATAACATTATGTTACAAACAGTGAAATGGCCAACAGAAGAGAAGCAAATGAAGAATAAAT